CATTAGAAAATTTTCCTGAAATTGAAGATATTACCCAAAGTTAGTTACACAGTGGAGAAATTAATGATTTCGAGTTTGATCATGTATGAAAACATCGAACTTACTGTTGTGTAATTTCTTTGGATTTTTCGTAATTTTACTTTTTCTTTTTGAAATCAAACTGTCATCAGATTCTGTAAATAAAATAATCTTTTCAAATATATATCTGTATTAAAATAAACTTTTTTTCTTTTTACATAAAATGGAGTTTTTGAAAATATAGTAGTGATAATCATTTCGTACCTTGCACATTAGTACTATTAGTATTATTATTAGTTAAGTTATCATCATCAGTAGTATTATTTAAACTAATGGTACCATTATCATAATCATCATTTTCATCACTATTGCTATCATTATCGCTGTCACTTTGAGTGTCAATATCTGTCCCTAGTGCAGCTTCCAGATATTTGGTGATATTGAGAATATCAGCCTCTTTTTGAGGTAATCTGTAGAATTGCTTATGTATATTTTCTTTATGTCCCATAAAATCTGCTAATTCGGATACTTCTAGTTCTGTTAACTTTAATTTTTGACAATTGGTTGCGATATGTTTCCTAAGAAGAGTACCTCGCAATCTTTCAGGATGGTCAGCTCCACATTCATGAGCAAATTGTCGCATATGATCGCATGCTCTTAAGTATTTAAATCTCTGTTTATGGAAACCTTTTACACCAAAAATGTATGGGTTTTTTGGATGTACATTAGCTTTATCTCGGCATTGTATAAATAATTGTATACAATTTAATAGATCAAAATGTAATAAGACAGGAACAGGACGACCTAATTTTCCTCTAATTTGAAATCGTACATATTTGCGTGCAATTGCTTTTGCTGAATTTGAGAGAGACTTAAAAAGATCTGGATCACTTTGTTCATTTAAACTTTCATGGTTATAAAAATCTTCTAATAGTATTCTTTGCATTTCACCAGCGCGTTTTCTGTTACATATTTGCATAGAAATTAATGTACATTGGCCCAGAGTTAGCCATACATTATATGAAAATTCTTCCTTCAAAATATTGTATGCTTCATGTCTCTTACTGTTTACATAATTGTAAAGCTTTTTTATATCGGTTATACTTGGAGCTACTTCTTTTTTTTGTCGTATCATATGTGCTCTCGTTTCCATTACTGTTTTGTTAACTGAATGGCTAAAATCTTCTTTACGAAGAGAAAGAAAATCTTCAACTAGAGCCTTTTTAACAGGATCATGATTTTTAATACACTGTGAGCGCCATAATTCTCCAACTTCTTTTAATAACGTACCTAACTGAAATGCTGTATAAGCAGCCTCAAATTTCTGAGTTTCTGTATTATATCGAGCTACTTGATATACTGCTTTAATACAGTCATCGTAATATTTTGGTTCATATAGTGAGGCAAAATCTGTAATTTCATTGTTTATTTCTTTCAATGCTTTTAAAAATCGTCCAAGTGTTCGTAATCGATTTCGCACCATATCGTGTTGATGCTGCGGTTTGTATTTCATACAAAGTTTGTTACCATATCGAATAATTAATTCGTCATATCTTATAAGACGCGTAATAGAATCTTCTCTTAACACTGGAAAGATCACTTTTTTTAGAGTTTGAGAAGCTATTTCATTAATTCTACCGAGGATTGCTCGTCCAAGGACTGTTATTATTCGATTTTTAGAATGTTTTACATTTACACACTTTCGAACATGATTTCGTAAAGTATTTTTAGAAAAAAATCCGTGACATTTGATACACACTCCATATTCATTAGCTGTTTTGTTAAACTTTATATTCGGTCTTCTAACAACATGTAACTTGCCATCATTTAACATTTTGTTCGTATTAAATTGAAATTCTCCTTTTCGACGTATTGTTTCAATAATTCTTTTACGTTCAAGACATCCTTTCGGTAATGCAGCGAATTTCTTAACATCTTCTTCATTACGATGTACACTTTCTAAATGTCTTGCAATTTTTGCTTTTGGTAAATTACAATAAAAACAGTAATATTTTTTGGTGCCACTACGAGAATTATCAATTGTAAGTTGTGCATCATCACATCCTGATACACCCGATGCATTTGCGGTTGTTGATAAATTAAAAGTAGTCGATTCGTTTAACCTATTGTTACATGCACTTGCTTCATTTTCGTTTATAAGTTCATCATTGCTTTCATAATCTGTGTAGCTAGCTGAATCTTCTGATGGTTCATAATCTTTGTCAAAGTAGTTCTCATCTTCGATATTTTCATTATTTTTCTCCAGATTATTCTCCACTTGTTCTTCTATTATAGTATTTCCTAATTCCACTAAACATAAAACATAACTGTATATATATAACTTTATCAAATATGTAAAGATGTAAATATGTGTAAATAAAATTTTAATAAAACTTATATATAATTTTTATGACGAAATTTTATTGATAAAATTTTACTTATTATTAACTAACTTTGGGTAATATCTTCAATTTCAGGAAAATTTTCTAATG